CTGTAACTTATAATAGCATCCGCCAAGAAGTGTCGTATATGACAGGTTTCAGTTGGAGTTTTCAATCACAATGTTTGCTTTCCAGACAACGCAACTCTGGAAACTGGTAAAAATCATCAATCTCTAATTGTTTTATATTGCACATATTCTAGAATGTGTTTCACAATAATTTTTTAATGATACAATGTATTTTTATGGTGAAGAATATCTTCTGTTTGGGCTCCTTCATTAGTGGAAATTAATTGGTAATTTTGTGTCTTGCTTGTCGTAAAATCGGATGAGGAAGTTCTCTGAAGATGTTTTCCTTATTGGTTAGTAGCCGTTTTTAATGACGATCTATACTAATCGTATCCATATGCCCTGAAATGGTTTACTGTTACGATAGAGGATGGGCTAACATGTCTGTGACAAACAATATTTCCAGAATTAATTTTATTGCAGCCAGTAAACATGCCCATATTACTTTTAATACCAAGTTTGCATTGGTGTATAAATATGGTCATTAACAGGTAAAGAAACATGGCCCTCAATAATAAATTATACCCTAATTACATTAAAGCCTGAAAGGTCTTTTACTTTGGCTAAGAATGATCAAGATTTCATCCAGAAATAAGACCTTGTGTTTTTAACACTGAACTATCACGGCAAGATAATGTAATTAAATTATATGTGTCAGTTTTATATTTTTGTTTCATTACATTTTACTGTAATGATAATTTTCACTGGATTTAAACTTTTGCTTTAGAAAATCCAGTTCACTTCTAGAAAATAATAATCTTGCTACATTTTTTGTTTTTAGCCGACCTTGGTTCGCAAATTTGTAAACACTAAGTGAAAATGATTGGCTATTACAAAGGTCATGTCAGCTCACGTGGTTGCCATATTGTAAACAGTTTTTTATTATTCATTTTCAGCTTGAGACTCTGATTTTAAGATAGGGCTATTCTGGACTACGTGATAGATGGCTTTTTTATTGCTCTGTTCAAGTTAGTGATCACGTAGCCCCAGTCACGTTAGCCACCATGTGATCTCAAATCGTGGGTCAACACAACCGTTTTCTATTAGATTTTTCAGTCGTAAATAAATACCTTCCAGCTCAAAGTATTTTGTGTTGTTGCCATTTAAGTTGAAATTGTTATTTAAAATAAAATTTGGAAAAAAACGTCTATTCATCAATGTTCATGGACAAAAACATTTCTTTGAAATTCTTCAGAATTCAACGAGGAACTGTTGACAAGTCATTTCAATACCTTTATCTGACGTCATCGTCCTTCATATAGGAATTTTACCGGGATTCTGAATAGGATTTATTTAGAACGTTTTAGCGATAGGACTTGTACTTTTAGATTGCAGAATTAATTGTTGAATTATATTCACAAACTGAAAGCAATTGTTTACATTTTTGCCTTTTTTCAGGAAGATAAATTATTTTGTTAAAATTTACAAAACTTGGTGGCTTCACTCTTTTAGTTTGTTACATTTGAATGAGCCTACATTTAACAGGAGTACATTGGATTGGTAAAACCACTTTTTTGTTCAAATAGGAGAACGTCAGCATCATCCTCAGTGACATCGTAATATTTTTATGTGAATATTCCAGAGCATCCATACTTGCTTCAGATTTAATTTTTTGAAGAACTCTATCAACTTATGTCCTACCTTGACAATTTTTTTTCTTGTTTAATGCTAAGTGATATATTTGAAGTATAAATCAGAACTGTGTCCATCTGGATCGACTTTGAAACTGATTAGAAATGCACTCGCTATCTTTATACCACGGGTGGTGGTTTTCTCTTTCTAATCTGACCTTAACATATTTCATGCTGGATGCATAGAAAAGATGGCTTTGAAATTAGACGAACTTTAATTATCTATCCACATCTTCATTTTGCAAGGATTTTGAAAATAGTGTTTTGTAACCGTTGAAAGTTGGATGGCTTGAATACGTTCAACAGTCAGGAGTAATGAGATCCGAAGTAAAAGAATCTGAGCTATAGAAATACAAACAATCTGAGGATGAGCAATAGAAATACAAACTATTTGAGGATGGGCAATAGAAACACAAAGTATTTAAAGATAGACAATTTAAATTATTTTATGATAGGCAATAGAGATACAAACTATTTTAGGATGGGCAATAGAAATACAAATTATTTGAGGATGGGTAATAGCCCATTTCATACCGGATTTAACCGAATTGCTCCGTAATTATCCGAAAACCGCATAGTCGCTTTATACTCCAGCCAATCAAACGCTGGTAGGCATATGTACACCAAAAAATGGCGTACATTCTTGTTTAGAAGTATCATATTAAAACAAATTAAGAAATACCCACTACTTGTATCGTCAGAGGTTGCAAAAGTAATACAATCAGGTTCATTATGAAGGAGAAAACTATAATTTTCATGTTTCATGTTTTTTCCACCAAATAAGAAATGCTTAGTTATTTTGTAAGCGAGCAAGGAGAGAAGTGCCTTCCTTGTAGTTCTTATATAGTACATGTATGACGCTACTTTAAAATGATACGAGCCCCTGTGAGAAAGTGGATCTAATTTAATGATTTATGTTTAAATGTAAATAATCCACAGACTTTCACAAACAAATGTGATAAACTCATATTAAACACATCTCATTTTAGTGACCTTTCGGATACATATAAATAGTTTGAACAACTTGCTCTTTGATTGTCAGGATTAAATTTTTAACATCGACACGGTTCCATACTCACATGCACATGTTCAAATGTAAAAAGCTCATAGCTACTCTCTGGTATGGCTTTAAAATCCGCCCTGGTATCCAGAAAATAAGACAAGATGGTTCCAATATTAAATTTAGTCAATATCTGGCATCATAGCCGTGAATATGCATTTTTCAACTAGATAAACGAAGCTGAAATAGTTGTTGGAACAATTGATGCTGATGCTGAGGCGTACGCCATGTTTTGACTACCAGCTATCGATTGGATAATGCAGTCATCTGACCGCCAGCCATGTGATCAAAATTCCGAGCAGATTACGAAGTTTGCCGAAGTCTTCATTCTATGCTGATGCGTCCGCCTTGTTTTGACCACTAGTCTGGTCCCCTACTTAGAATGCTCCCTGCGATGCACTCCGCTATACTATATTAGGGAGCATACTAAACAGGGGGACCAGACGATTTGCCTACCAGCTATCGATTGGATATTTCAGTCAGTTGACCACCCGCCACGTGATCAAAATTCCGAGCAAATTACGAAGTTCGCCAAAGTCTCCATGAAATGGTCTATAGGAACACAAACGATTTGAGGACGAGCAACAGAAATACAAACGATTTAAGGACGAGCAATAGAAATAAAAAGAAGGGGAATAGAAATACATTTTATCTGAGGATCGGCAATATACATCAGAAATGCATACACAAACTTTTATAGGATGTTTAAAGGAACATATCGACGAACCCTAACGACGTTTTGGGTTAAGGGATTGATGATTATGATGATGATGATGATGATGATGATGATGATGATGATGATGATGATGATGATGGTGGTGGTGGTGGTGGTAGTGGTGTTGTTGGTGGTGATGATGATGATGATGACGACGACGATGATGATATTGATGAATAGAAACAGAAAATATTTGAGGATGGGCAAAATAAATACAAACAATTTGATTACGGGTACTTGAAATACAAACTATTTTAGTCTTAAGATCTATTACATTGAAATTCGACAACTTTACAACGTTCATTATGTCTATAATTATGGTATTTTTGATCCTACATATTTATTAGGGAAGAACCGCAACTTGAAACTAAATGTGTATGGGTTCGAATTCTAGAATAGGACCAGTCCGTATCGACTGCCTTGGTGAGTCCTTGGGGAAGGAACTTTACTCCAATTGCTTCTCAACTAAATAACCTATTGTGTCGTAAAGCAACAAGCTAAACCAAATCGTCACTAAGGTAAAGAAATTTAGAAATTCACAAGCAGGGATTTCGGAATCTTAGCTTTGCAGCAGGGGACAGAAGAAAAAAAAATCAAAATAATTTTCATTAATCAAGAAATATTACCTGACTCATTGCATAGTACTTATTTCTTTAATGTATGTGGAAACGAATCGATTTATATAATGTATATCATCGATGTCCTTGCTGACCGGCTGTTTATTTAATAGATCTTGATTATGAGATGTTTGAGGTGTTCGTTACTTTATCAGCTTGACATCTGCACAGAACCAATTAACTAAATGTCACAACGATGTAGTGCCGTAGATGTATCGCTAGGTTGGGAATGGGAGCTTGTTAACAGGCGATTTTTTTTCTCTCAGAGGTTATTTAATAAAAATTATTTAATCCCAAAAACTGATAAATCGCGACTGCTTGTTGCTAAAAACAGAAATATATGGTCCTCCATCTCGTTTTATTTATTTAATCCATTTTTACATTTTTCAGAAATTGTGCTTTAGGGTACAGCTGATATTATTAACACGATACAGCTGATATTATTAGATCGACACAGCTGATATTATTAACACGATAAACCGATATTATTAATACGATACATCTGATATTATTAATACGATACAGCTGATATTAACACGATGCAGCTGATATTAATACGATACAACTGATATTATGAACACGATATTGCCGATATTATTAACACAATACAACTGATATTATGAACACACTACAGATGATATTATTAACACGATACAGCAGATATTATTAATACGATACAGCTGATATTATTAACACGATACAGCTGATATTATTAACACGATACAGCTGGTATTTAGCAAAGGAGGCGGATTGCCTTGAGACTTTTCACTTCAGCCTCGCTAAATCAAAAAATGATGAATGACACCAGTGGAACATGGACGTCCGTGATTGGTCAGTTAACATAGTAGGAATCGAAACATCAAAGAAACAGTGTGAATGCTGCTTATGAAACAAATTGATGATTCCATTATAACATTGCTACTACTACTAGTGCTACTACTACTACTACTACTGCTATAGACTGCTCCGGTGGCCTTGTGGCTAGAGCGTTCGCCTTGGATGCGGGAGGTCGTGGGTTCGAACCCAGGCTGAGTCATATCAAAGACTTTAAAAACTGGTAATAACAGCTGCCTCGCTTGGCGCTCAGCATTAAGAGGTTAGTGTTAGGTCTGGTTGGTCTGGTGTCAGGATAATGTGATTGGGTGGCATATCAGGCCACATGTCTGCGGCATGATGCCCCAGTGCTAGACATCACTATATACTGCATTTACACATAGCCAAATGGAAGCGAATATGTTATATCTGACCTACTGGCAAGTGCGATGTTTTTATTTGAAACTGTACATATAAGCAAACAAAATATTTTTTTTTCACTGCTCAGTTTTGATTTTTAGTTTCGGATAATGTTACCTCAAAACCATTGTTGGATGAGGATCAGATACTAATTTACTAATTTGTTTTTAAAAAATGCTGTTTCAAATGTTAGCGTATCCGGAAAGACTGGTATTTTCTTTTCCATTAAATGAGTTAGGTTTCACATACGGATGAAGAGAAAATCTGATTCCCCACAGACATGTAAATGCTTGAAACTAATAATCCTATAATCTGAAGAAAAAACTAACAACAAATACATTAGAAATACTGCATTCTAGACGCAATCATTCAGGTTCTGATGAATTGAAAACATGAAATTGATATTTTTTAAAAATGTATTCGAGTATTTGTATTCGAGGTTATACATAGCAATGTACGTTAAAATAACCAATATATCTAAAATTACAAAAATGTCAGTCATAAAAAACTGACAATTATCGACATATTCTGTAATTTTGTCCGTCTGTTGAAGAGTCCTTTTTAAAGTGTTGCGTTTAAGAAAATCATTCCTTTACGTTAATGATGGGGAAATTGGATTGTTAATTTTTCATGTAATGCGGTGATGTATTGTCACCATTCTATTCTCTCTTAAAGTCATTGCCTTGAAGTAATCGTTGAGTAGAGCGCCGAAACCGAGAACATTTGTAAATTATTCATAAGAATTATTGCAAACTCACACTGAGACAAAGCAAAGATATTTCCAGTGTCAGATGAACCTGAAATTTAGTAATTTCGTCTGAATAAAATAATTTTCTCGGGAAATGATATATTACTTCTCTGTGTTATGCTGGTGGAAATGCTTAAGGAGACTACGCTGCAAGGTTAAGCTCTGATAAAACAGATTTTCTGAAATGGTTTTGAAAACCGAACTCAGTATCTTAATATCCTTGTGTCAAAAGATGGCTGAATCAACCTGAATATACAGTGTTTGTATTGGTATGTTACTATGTTTTTGTTTTTTTTACATATTCGTCAGTCGTCAAACAACCCTAGTAGTTCAAAATGCTCTTTCGTTTATGGTGTTTACTAAATGTATTTATTTTGTTCCTAATGTTAATATGACGTTCCATTCGTTTATTATATGTCCATAGATAAAAACGGAATAATTATGCGCATGCCATGAACACCGTCACCTTCCAGACTATGTTTATATCCAGGAAAGGTCCTTCATTCTTGTGTGCACTTGTCTGTTTGCAGAAAATTCGAATTACATAATTTTTTTTAATGAAAAAAAGAAATATGGAAGGGCGTGATAGACAAAGAAAACTTAACTTTTTATTCATTTTTTATCACTCATATTATATCAGCAAGGGCCTAACAATGTTAAAATCTGGCTGCGTGATGTTGATCAAAAAGCAAATCTGCGCGTGGAGAACTAATGCGTAATTCGCTTCAGATTTTAATTATTGTTCTGTGAACCAGTAACAGAATAACGATTGAGATTTACATATTTACATATTACCGCATTAATATATTTCAAAAAGCAGATATCACATACATATCAAATTAAAGCCGAAGGAAATAATAACGAAAGAATTTAATTTAAAGATTTATACATCGATTAATCTTAAAGTTATTCGTACATCTTGTTTTGAGTGTCATTTTGTGGTTATGCAATGTTTTAAACTAAATTCAGCTTATTTGTCATAAAAGACAGAGAATATTTGTTTCCGGTCAAGGAATGTCTAATAAAATGAACGAAATGAACGAAAACGCATACAAATAAATCAACTTAAGTTTGAGCCGTAATGAAGGAAGGCACTAAACAAAACATCAGGATAGGAAGCAGTGTGATATTTAAGCCATCTTGGGCAAAAGGAAACGCCTTTGGTCTATTGTGCTGAAATTTTCGATTGCAAGAAAATGCACATCATTATGGGATGTAGTGTACACAGTACTGGATTGAAGACAAACTGCTAACTATGTGATGTGACAGAAAGAAGCGTTTTTTCTGTAGTTTTCCATTCGCCATTAGAACATAATTCCATCTTACATTTGTTGCCACTGTGCCAGGTAATCATTCTGATAACGAGACCAAGAAGCAATATGCCTGTAATTAGGATGCAGGGAAGTTTATGAAACGAGCTTTTCAATTCGAATATATATATCAATGAATTCCTTTTGACTCTGACAGTCCCGCTGAGAGAATATAAAGTGGAGTATCTCTGAATGACATTCATAGCTCTCAGACCCAGGTTGTAAAACTCTTCCCACCAACTAAAGTTACCAGATAACTTTTATTGCTAGTTAAATACTTGCCAATAAAAAATGATTGAATATACCACATTGAAGTGAGGTTAGATGAGGAATTCCGACTTTGAATGTCTTGATCGTAGCTTTAAAAACCTTCCCCCCATTATCGATATCATACTCTCGCTGTTGTAGCGCACAATCGGCTTGATAAAAATTGATACCATTATAGTTTTGGAGCCGACTTTCTCGTCCTGTGCAGCAGTCTGACTGACATATTTCATCAAATATACTTTTATAATTAAATCGTTTACGTCGAAACCTAAGCGTGTGTGTGTATATATATATATATATATATATATATATATATATATATATATATATATATATATATATATATATATATATGCCCCTTGATGGGAGTTAAGATTTACTACAGGCAGCTGTGTACTAACTGAGTATATGGACTCATCACATCTCTGTGTCAGCTGCTAAATGTAGTTCTATGCATTTTGTGGCTATTAACAATCACCTTGGTATATTGATAAGTTGATTATTTTCTTTTTCACTGTTTTTATTCACATTGATTAAATCAATATAATACATACTTATGAATTAAACATGAAAGATGGTTTTGATGATAAATTAAAGTAGAGCACTACAAATACATGCTTAGCTACAACATTCACGTACCGTCGGATGGAAATTAATGTGCAGTAGAAAGTAAGTGAAATGACGTACAAACAAGAAGTAATTAATTCTGCTTTAGCAATGTTACCGCCGACCAAAATCTCTCTCTCTCTCTCTCTCTCTCTCTCTCTCTCTCTCTCTCTCTCTCTCTCTCTCTCTCTCTCTCTCTCTCTCTCTCTCTGTGTCTCTCTCTCCGTCTCTCTCTCCGTCTCTGTCTGTCTGTCTGTCTCTATGTCTGTCTGTCTGTCTGTCTGTATCTCTCTCTCATCTTTTGGTTGGTCTGACTTAACTTTTACCATTGTTCATAAGTCCAGACAGAGATATCGTTGGATGACACACACGAAAATCCTTTATGTTCATCATTTTGTAAGAGAGAGAGAGGCCTTGGCCATTTTCATATTTAAGTAATGATCGAGTTTTAGAGCATATCATAGCATGTTCAAGAAACAACAATAAACATTTACATACAGTATGTGTGTCACGTAACCAAGGAATTTACAGTAGAATGTCGAAATGGTTTGCAACTTTGTATCATTGGTAAATACTGTAGATAAATCCCAAGGAAAGTGCACACGTATCTTTACAACTAACCATATTCTGGTAGTTTACTTGGTGAAAATTCTATTTCAGGGTTTTAATCCAGTCTAAATTCCTTTTCTTTCTCACTCCACATTTATGCGTAGTTTGTGAGTTATGCAGTAAGTGTTGTAATAAGAATATGCACCATATTAAAGCTATTTATGAAACGAGGATTATTGATACATCTTACCGTTGTGTTCGTACGTCACTAATGATCAATGTGTAGAAATTCATTATTGATCTAGAATCAACTGCAGACGGTCGCAAGAATGTTTATATATGCATATTATTGCGTATACCTGATTTGTTTATACGAAAACTTTAAATGCCAGCTTATTGTTAATGGATGTCGCATATATATATATATATATATATATATATATATATATATATATAGATATATGTATGTATATATGTATGTATGTATGTATGTATGTAGGTATGCATACATACATACATACATACATACATACATACATACATACATACATACATACATACATACATACATACATACATACATACATACATACATACATACATACATACATACATACATACATACATACATACATACATACATACATACATACATACATACATACATACATACATACATACATACATACATACATAACCGACTTGTCTGTTATGTGGCCGTTCTTTGCTGTAGAAAAACAAATAAATTCAATTACTAAATCACATAAAAGCATTTAGCGTATGTCAGATAGAGATCGTTGTGCTGCAATGAATTTTGTTTTGTAAAGGGAATAATTAAAATTGTAATTGGGCGTGAAAGAGAAATTAGTCCGTCTTTGTTTGTTGGATTGTAAATTGTCCTTATTTGAGTGTTGAACAGTTAATGATACGCTAGGATGAAAATGTAAAACTACTAAGCAAACGATCTTCAGTTGCAGCTATCGAATTCTCGGTTGAGCCATGTTTTTAGAAAAGAGATTAGCTTGACCGTAAATATGTCAGTTGTTTCTTCCTATATTTCTTATTGCTTCCGTAGGTGTTCAGTTTTCTACTTGTATTCAATAGCTACAACAGCAAACAAATAAACCATCAGGAACAAAGAACAATAAGCCGTCTGTTTTCCGTTGAGTTGATCTATTTAGAATGCTTTAATAATGTACATTAGCAGCATAAAGTAGGCTACTTCAATGATAAATATATGGGGAAAAGAAAATGTCACTGTCATGGTAAACATGTTTCAACAAGACTAAGAAGAAATCTATGAATTTAACTTATTTCTTTTAT